TTAAAAGAACAACCTTCATCGACAAACTAAATCCTCAGGTATACATGAAAATAAATAACAAAGTCTAGTAGCAACCGAGAAGCACGCTCAAGAATCAATACACAAGGTATAATACATCCCAAGTAGAAGCAGGCTACCACGTGCTACCTGGACATTCCTAGCTCTCCAAAAAATAATAGATATACATGTTGTAACACGTTAGTTTAGTGTAACTTTGGTCTTCGACTAACATATAGAAGAACAGTTTAATTTTAGAAATTATATATTTTACAGGCATAGAATGCTAACCTCTTGTGATGATTATCTACTTTGTGTTACTCGGTAATTGAGAATCATTTCTTCTGGCTTCTTCCAAATATAAGCTCGTACTGTGCCCAAACTCATTTCGGGTGCTAGAAGCTGGATCAGAAATTTGTATCAAAAAATTTGTCAAGTAAAAACAATTATTGATAAAATCAGTATATATCAACGGCTAACACCCGATATTTTGTCAAACAATAATGCTCTGGTACTATTAAAATACACAATATCTATCCCATGTAACCCTCCATTAAGGTTCAATCAAAGGTTTCCCAAATCCTAACAGAGTTAGAGCATGTTTGAAAACTTTCAATTATAATCCACAAATGGATTGTAAGTCAACTGAATTATAAGCCAAAGTGGCCAAAGTGTTCGGTAAGTTTAGTGGATTATAATCCTTCAACAGTAGAGTGTTTGGCAAATGGGTAGCTTATAAGTTATCATCGTTGTCAAAATGACCAAAAAACATTTAATGGGGTTGGAGAGAGAAAATTGGGCTTGAATTTTTTTTTTTTTTGAAATTATGATGGATATATTGGTCTTTTACTCCGTCAACCCTTGTGGTTTATAAACCACCAAAAAATAAGCTACCCTAGCTTAATTTTTGGTAGCTTATAAGCCAAAATAAGCTATTTGCCAAACATGTATAAGCCACTTTGACCGTTTGCCAAACATGCTCTTAAACTTATGTGATTTTGCAAATACTAAAGAGGTCTGTAATTCTTAATACAAAATAAAAATAAACAAAAACAAAGATGAATACAAAGAATACAAAGAAAAAAAATAGAAGGGAAAAATAAGTATGGGAAGAGATAACATAAATGACTTGAAATCCCAGGATTAGCAGCACATAGAAACTAAATAAAGTCAAAAGCAATGCTCTCAATAAAAACTGAAGAAACACACCAACAAAGAAATTCCTCCTAGGGGAAAGAAAAATGCAAGTAGACTGCGATATTATCTGCAAACTATGTTGAGAAGTCCTAAAAAACAAACTAGTCACCCTAAGCTACACTATGAGTTGAATGTATAACTTGAGTGGCTCTAGTCATAAGAGCTGCAGTCAAGACCATCTTTTTGCACTTGCCTGGTTATTACATAAGATCTCCATCGACGTCTTCATCTTTTGCCATGGCTTCAGCCCTGACCGAAAAGATCCATCTCCAACAGAACAAAGTTGTGATTGTCCTGTGCCCAGTCCTAAACCAAATGTTCCATCTGAACTTCCTCCTCCAAATGATTTATCCAGAGCCAATCTCTCAATTACATAGTTAACCACCTGCAGACCAATTGTGTAAAAACAGAAAGTATAGGTGCATAAATCTAACGATTCCCGGAAAGCCCTTACATAGAACTGGAAATGTTTGCATATAGGAATATGGTCCGATTCTAAAATAAAAACATATATTATGGCCAACCAAATTGAATCAGCATGAAGATCTGGAAATCAACTAATACTTACTTTGTTTATCCGCAATATTCTGGGTGCGCTCAGTTTGCTTTGAGTGAGGAGAGGTAAATTTGAGCCTTCACAAGGCTGCAAATAGAAGCCGCACCTAAAGAAGACAGTGAGATCAAGAAATCAAGACTGGTTCTTGAGTAGAATTGCACAAGTGATCCTATAACAATGTTAAAAATAAAAACCTTAAAAGTTTAGAATGCCTCATAGAAAAAAAATAAAGATTCCCTCAAAATCTATAATATCAACAAAAGTGCACATGGGATCAATGTTGTCAGTTCTACGGAAAACAATGTTTAATAAATGATCTAGTAGTCGATAATCCTTAAGTGCAGCACTTGATCGATGTTTTCATTGCAGTCACTCATCAGATGCTGTTTCAAAAATAGAATAAAAAAATCTAAAAACAAGGAAACAGATAAAAATCCTCATCAAAACAAACCTAACACAATTAAAAGATGCAATCAAATAAAATCTTAACTAAACTAAAAGGAGGTATCATGATCAAATGCTAACAAAATAGACATTGCATAGAATAAAATCAAATCCTACCAAAAAAATCCTAATAAATCGAAATAATAAAATCCAAATAACATTTTCGTCAAATTTGCATGTTATTTCTGAAGAGAACAAAAGGTGCAACCAAATAAAATCTTAACTGAACTAAAAGGAGATATCATAATCAAATCCTTAAAAAAATCCTAACTAATTTAGAAGATTGCATAGAATAAAATCAAATCCTACAAAAACAGAACCTAACTAATCAAAATAATAAAGTCTTAATAACATTTTCATCAATTCTTCTACGGGATCAAATCTGGGTCTGCCTTGTGTCACTCTTTTACTTTCTCCTCTGTTACAGTATTGAACATGTCCAATGTTCATGTCTCTTTTGTTCACCTGTATTTTTCCAATATACCAAGACAGGAAATCAAAAACAAACAGTCAGTATAGATGCATGCTTGACCGTACCAAGATGTGTGTGCCTTGATTGAACAAGTACAGAGAAATGACTCTTAGATCAGAGAACATGGGCCAGAAAGTTGCTTTCTTTGCAGCAAAAAGAAGTAAAAATAATATTCAGCAATCAACACAATATACAAGATCAAAATTATATGGTATTCTTGTCTAAGCATGAAAAAAAGGGTAGCCCAGTGCACAAGGCTCCCACCATTGTGGGCTCTGGGGAGGGTCAGATGTGGGGAGGGTCAGATGTACGCAGCCTTACCCGCATGCGAAGAAGCTGTTTCTAGCTGTTTCCAAGATTAGAACTCATGACCTCCAGGTCACAAGGCAACAACCTTACCGTTGCGCCAAGGCTCATCCTTTTGTTTAAGCATGAACGAATTTAAAATTATAAAATTGAATGATACTTCCCCCAGAAAATATAGTTCTCTTTATCGATCAAATAGACCATATAAGAAAGCACTATGTATTCTTTTCCTAACTAAACCAACACTGTAGTTCATATGATATTAGCACGTTCTAACATAATTTCATGTTACATTCTTTTGCATTTGCAGCAGAAACGACAAAACAATGTGGAAACTGGAAAGTACTAAAGTGCATGAAGGTAAGAAATTACTTAGTAGCATTGTCTCTAGAAGGCATCCGGCCACTCAATATACAATCTAGACACCACCACGGAAGATCTTTCTCATCTTCTGTCCCATCTAATTGTGTAATTTTCTTTCTCCAAGGACCTCCAAATGTACCTTCTGTAATTAATGATGGTGGGGATATAGTTGAGAATTCAAAAGCAGGGAGAACCACTGTATTATGGTTTTCGACAGATTCATCAACCTCGATCCTTGAATGGGAAATATTTCTCATGGACATATCCTTCCCCGAAGAAATATCACCATTACATGATGCTTGTGGTCCTGGCCTCCGCTTTCTTTTGAGCATCCAATGTGCAAAAAGACCACGAAGAGTCTCCTGAGCTAGATTGATCTATAAAAATGAAAGGAAAAAAAGAGATCAATACAACAGTTGCAAAATCACCCAGGTCCAGCAACATGATCCAAAGGAATATTATGAATTGCCTTTTGATGCCACTAACCGAACATTGTCCCTAATAAAAGGAGAGGACATTAAAAAAAAGACAGCTAACAGATCTTGAATTGACTACCAGATAGTGTTATAACATTTTAAAAGATACAAGGCTAATTCCTCATATAAGATTGTTTCATTTTAATCCTGCATAGCACTCTTCTCTATATATAAAATCGCATGTGTTGAAGTCTTTATTCCATTAAGCAAACCAATAAGTTTATATTCTCAATTAAAGTTCTCATTTTTCTAAAGCTTTAAAACTGACAACTACAACATTAAAAGATAGATTTCAAAAATAAATATATACAGATTACAATGATATTTCACACGCATATGCTTAAAGCCACTGAAATCCTTAAGACATAGAAATATTTATCCCTTGTATACTATCTACTCTGATAAGTTCACTGTTCATAGTATTACAGTGGATAAATGAAGACAAGCGAACACTGAAATATTTTAATAAAAGAAACCTAGATCTGTGAAATTAATACATGCATGAAATGCATGACTATTATAGTCGCTTCCAATCTTTTACGTGAACAAGTACTGAAAGATACTTTGTATTACAAAGTAAAATCTAACAGTTAAATGAATGCAGTACCTATATACATTATAGACACACAGCATTATTTCACCAATGTCAAATATGTACTTGTTTATTTTTGCCTTATAGCCAGGCCATATAAATGTATAAAACAAAAAAAATAACCGAGGTATTTTTTTTGGAAACAGATAACCTTTCTCAGATATTAAACAAAAATGATTTATTGTTCATGTTGAATGATATGAGCAATGTAAAAGGCAAGTCAATTACTAGCTACCATGACTGGTTTTCAGTAATATAGGAACAGGATGGAAAAAATTCAATTAATACATCTAGGTAATATGGTGAACCACTTCGTATCATTTTTTTAATTTTAAGATGGCAAAGGTTCAATAAATACAGCTCTATTTCATGCTCACAACACAAAAGTGCACATGATTATCGATATTACGGACTCATTTAGGGATTGCTTTTTTTAAAATAATAACAACAAATATTTGGTAGAAAGATTTTAGGTTGTTTTGAAGATCTGGAAAAATAATAATAACTTTAAGAAGTAACCAGCCCATCCAACAATACTTTATGGATGCAGGCAAGGGACATTTTAAAGATGTGTGATTGACATTTTTCTACAGAGATAACCGATGTTACTGATTAAATCCAAACAAACATTTCCTATATACATTAAGAAAATATGCATTGAACCAAATATAAGAAAGAGGTCAATGCCAGTATCAGTCGGTTTCAACTACTACCGGTTTTCAATTGGTATTTGACCAATATGGACCAAAACAAGAAACATTTAATTGATGCTTATTGCCCATCAGCCAAGACCAAAACAAGAAACATTTTTCAATTGGTATTTGACCAATACGTGACTGCTTTTTATATAGGCAGCAAAAATAATAGATAACTGTAAGTTGCAAGATAAATTTGTAGTTTTAAATTAGGATGCCATCTGTTGCAACATATGAACATGCCTCAGATTAATGCAATTCCCTGTGTAAAAATTATACATTTGAATAGAGAAAAAGAGAAGACAAAGTTGTTATTCCCACAATCCCTAACATTTCTTAAATAGAGATTAGGAGGGTTACAAAAGCGGTTAGGATATTGACCCAAGTACCCAGATATCCATACAGCTAAATGATTAATAACATATAACATTCCTCTCAAACTGGAGCATATGCATCAAACATGCCAAATTTTGTTACATAAAGGAATGAAAACACTAGATGAAAGAGCTTTGATAAAGTTAATTTTGCCCAGAGTACTTGAAGATCTTAAATATTTGGTTGCTTCACCGGACGTAGCCATAGAACCAGAAATTGATCACACAAAGTAGTAGCCAGAGAAGTATAGTCATAATGTGATATCAATAGGACCCAATCAGAAAGCCAGAATAAGGTCAGATATAGATCACAAGCAAATTCTCGCTCTTGTAATCAGTAGACAGGAAGCCTGCCAGCAATAGGAGACCCTCATAATAGGAATCAAAACTGAGAAACCTATATCGGAGACCCTAAGCAAGGGAGTCAAAGCTCGATAATGAAGAGGCAACCACGAACAGTGGACTATTGTCCACACAATGAACAGCAACTATGTTAACTGTTCACACGGTGAATAGTAAAACCGTTTACTTTCAATGTGATTATTAGTTGAATCTTTTATTATTCAACTGGGTAACAGTAAACCTATTCACACGGCTAACAGCAACAGTAATGAACAATACGTGTTTGCTTTTTAAAAATTTACTGTTCATGTGGTGAACAGTAACAGAAGTGAACAATACTTGTTTGCTTTTTTAAATTTAGAGTTTTTTCATGGTGAAGATTTTTCACAAAGATTTAGGAGTAACTGGTGCAAATAGATCTGAAAAGACTAATTAAAATTGACAGTGATGTTGAAGACGCCAAGGGGAAGCATGTAGATGATGTCAGCAACAAAATTCCCTCGACAGCCCCTAAACTAAGAACAAAGAAAGAGATCTCTAGGGTTTGAGAACTTAGCTCTGATACCATGTAGAGAGAGAGAGAAAACAAAATTAGTATTCCCATATACCTTAGCCTCTCTTAAATAAAGGTTAGAAATGTTACATGAGCGGGCATGGATATTGACCCAAGTACCCAAATATTCAAATAGCTAAACGATTAATAACACCTAACACCTACTTTAGGTAAATTCAATTTGCATGAAAAGGTAGGTTTACCACCTCCTGCTAATTTGCACTTGTGGATTAATGACAAGACTCTCACTTGCTAGCAACTTCTTCTCACAAGAGTTAGACATCAATTTATAGTACCTTGATGCGTAATAAAAGCATTCTCTAGAGTCTATGTTAACTTTACATATTGCAATGGGAATAGGCTTTGACAATGATGGTGGCACATAAAATGTGGACCAAAATCCTTGATGCACAAACAAAAGGTAAAATAATCTGATCTTCCATAATACGCATAAAGTGACCCAGTTTTCACACACCTAATTCGAGTAATTGCGTACAAACTCGAGGACCTTTGATGTATAGATTATATCATATTTAAGAACAATCCTTCTCCTAAACACTAGTGAATCGAATGCCCCCAGTTTATTGGGCATCTTATCAAAGAATTTGCCACAGGAGAGAGTACTACTTCAGCGTTAAGGATTAAAAAAAGTAAGTCATTAATAAAAAGATGGCAGGAGTGTGGGGGGAGAGAAAATTTACCTTGTGATCTTCAGATGCTCCTAAAATATTCAAGTCAGCAGCATACATCTCTGCAAAAAAGCATTGGGGGTTGTCCAAGTGGAGCCGAGTATCCGTACTAAACCATGCAGGAAAGCTAACCTGGAAAAGAGTGAAAAGTTTTTCTCATGACCTGAAATATGATACTGAATACGATACTGAATTTGAAAGCAGAAGTTCATTCACAATAACTGCAATAATACCATTTCAAATAGCTCTTCTTTCTTCTTCTCAAAGGAAACCTACAAGATTGAAAAAATACAATCATAGCAAGAGACAATAATATAGATGCTAGCTTTTAATCAAAATCTAACTCTCAGACCACAAAGGCTACATAATGGTCAATAATAACAGGTAATGGAACAATTATGCCTTAGGCCTCAGGATCAGACAACTAATCTCAGATATGAATATAATTATAATATTCTCTCAGGCAGAAGAATTGAGAAACGCACCTCGCCATAGTCCTCAATTACAACTCCCCTTGTAATCTCCCACAATTTAACAGAACCAGCAGCATCCTGTAGATGTGCAAATTTCAATTTGAAAAGTATATCGGCCATGAAGTTAACTCAAGGTCATAAGAAACCAAAAACATAAGAGCAGTATTTTCCAAGAATTTCAAGTACACAAATAACCATGAATCATAATCACCTTAGTCAAGACCTGCCTTCTGTTGTTTAAAATTTCGTGTTGCACAATGGCTGGAGTACCAGGTACTGTTAAGGATGGTTCACTGTAAACAGGGATCTGTAAAATTGACAATAATGAAACCTCTTTTAGATCCACAACAAACCATATATTGGATATTCAAAGAAAAAAATGCTCCTGATAAATATAGGAGGTTTGGAAGAGGGGAAAATCCATTATAAACATACAGATAACTCCCATTAATCTTCTTTCAATTTCAGGCCTAGAGGAAATGTCCACAAAAGTATACTGGCAACATTTAAGGAACTCATACGTGTTCAAGATACTGTACCACCATTGTGAGCACTAAGTATTGATCAAGCAATATCCTCCTCAAGAATATAGATGAAGCAGATGTTGTCTATGCTCTGGAAATGCAAAAGCTGGAGTTTGGAGTTCTTAACTTCAATATTTCAACATGAATCTTTTAATGAAGGGTGGGAAAAAAATAGAAACCTTTGAAGCAGAATGCAAAATAAAAAAATAAATATAAATAAAACTAACTGATGAAAAACTAACCTTGTGCCATCATTAGCATTTTAATAAGACTCCACAGAAAAATTTGTAAGTTACAATGTGTGTCAATTTGCTTGTTACAATGTAAAGAGACATGATTACGTAAATTCTTTGAATAATAGAATCTGCGGGTCAATTACGGATGCTACTACAACACCAAATTACTGATAGAGTTTAGACTACAATCACATATGATATGAAGACTAAGTAGTAAATAACAATTTAAAGAATGAGCACTTCACGCTTATCCAAGATGACAACAGGGCAGAGTGGATAGTTATGCAAGAGAACACAAGAATGAACCGTATGCATACTCGATTGAGTGCACCAATCCAATTTGAGGCATGTTAAGCTTGACTAAACTTGAGAATAAGTTTATAATTTATGACAGAGAACTTTTCAAGTGAAGCAGTGGTGACTGGGACAAACAAGACAGATTTTTTTACCTTTTGTGAGAGAAGAGATGTGGAGTTAAACTTGGAAAAGGGTAGAAAAGCTCCCTTCAACTTACATGATAGACTAGCTTTATAAAAAGAAATATCATTGTCTAAATTGCATCAAGAAGAGAGAACTATTTCTGATGGTCAATATAATCCATCTTCATAACTACTTACCTAGTTGAAATAAGAAATCATCAAAAATAAACTTACAGGTTGTGATCCTTCCAAAGAAGCCCTTGCCCTAGAAAAGGACAAATTTCCAGCTAGGAACGAACCTCCCCTTTGGAAAACCTTTTGCGGGCTATGTCCTTCAGCTGGCCACCTGTGCACAGAAGAATCTGTTGTTGCAACCCAAATGCTATCTTCTTGCAAAGCCAGTTGCAAAATTGGGTGTTCCTTTTTACAAAGTAGAATGCTCTCTCTTGTTGACAAGTCTGTTAGGTATAACTGAGATAGCATTCAGAAACATGCACAGGAAAATAAATCAGAGTTCAAAATAAACCCTTAAAAAGAGTTTTTTTTTCAAATGCTGAAATTCATTGCTCACTGAAGAGTCCCGTCCTCCACTGTAAACATGGCTAAATGTGGGAGTGCTGGCAAGTGCCCAAACAGAATCTGTGTGCACAGCATAAGAATGCACACAGCGTTGCTGACCAAGATCCCATAGCCTACATGAAACAGCACGAAAAAGTATCAAGTATTCAACTGTAGTTTCATAATTAGAAACAGATAAGATAAAAGAGGGTAGCTTAGAAATTTTCTAAATATATCTCCTACATCCAAGATAAGGAAATTCCTATGGGCAACTGCAGAAGCACCCTAACTGCAGATACAAATTTCAACTCAATACAGACAACCCACAGTTTGGAAGCTGACAATAAAAAGTACAAGTTTGCAATTAACCACTCTCCAACTTCCACCTAGAGGGTCAAAGTCTAGAGAAAGTTGCTTCATGGATGCAGGAAAACTTAGTTATTTGGTTGACAACTTTCTAGATTTGGCTGGATTAAAAATCTAGTTAAAATTCTTGATTAGCTAGAATTGAATTCATTTTATTTTAGAGATTCTTTTTATACGCCTTATTTTATGTAGGATTCATTAAGGTATGGGAATTTCAGTTTTTTCTTTTTTTTCCCCTGTTTTTGAAATTTTCGTTTGGTTAAAATTAAAAAATTTTGCTCTATTTAAATTTGGGATCTTTAGACCTGCAAATACGTGTTATTGTATTCTATTTCTTTACTTGATAAATTGAATAGTAAGTCGATGACAGGCCACTAATCAGGTCTTCCTTTTTACAACAACTAGCCAGAGCCTAATTCCCCAAGATCTATGCACCAGTACTCGCAGTGTGGATAGATGGTGTGTTTACATGTGAACAGGCAGGGTGAGATTGTGAAGCAATTTTAAATTCCATGCATATATGCAAATAAATTCATGACTGTCAGATAGATGAGTGTGCCAGTGTGTGCGTGTGTGCACGCGTGTGTATTAAAGTGAGTGTGTGTGTGTGTTTGCGTGTGTATTAGAGAGAGAGGCAGAGAGCAAATAAATTTGTGACTGTCAGATAGATGAGAGAGAGAATGTGTATTAGTGTGTGTGTGTGTGTCTGCGTGTGTATTAGAGAGAGAGAGAGAGAGCAAATAAATTCATGTCTGTTAGATAGATGAGAGAGAGAGAGAGAGAGAGAGAGAGAGAGAGAGAGACTTACCTAATCATTGAATCTGATGACCCAGATATGCAAAACCTGCAGTGGACTCAAGATATAATGCAAGTTAGCGAGCGGAAAAACGCTTAAATGGAATCTAGTACTAATTGTCGCCATCATTTAGCTCCGAGAAAATATAAATCGCAATCCACATACCATACTCAGAAGTTAAAAAGAAGACAATATAGAATAAAATATCATTTCCAAATATATCAACCTGCCACTGGAATCAAGAAGCAAGGTCCTTATGTTATCAGTATGTCCTCTTAGCTTCATATTCTTTGAACCAGTTCTCGGATCCCAAACACGGATGACCTGCAAAGAAGCATTATAGTTAAATGGTTATGATAAAATATAGAACAACTTCAAGTTTTAAACAGAAAACAGCTAAAACATAGAGATTACCATCACAACTAAAATGCAAGAAAGGTTGCAGCATCTATTGTAGTTTTTCTTGAGTTATTAAGAGTATTAGAAGATAACATGGTCACAAAATGGACATCAAGTACCTTTTCTGTTCCACCAGAAACAAGGAGAGTTCCAGTATCATTCATAGCCAAGGCATAGACAGAGTCTTTATGCCCTTTGGCAGCAAGGGGACTATAAGAATCTGATTGATTGTTATGCACAGATATATTGTTGATTGAATTATAAGGGCGTAAATTTGAGAGGGACAGGCCAGAGTTTCCTGAACTGATTGGTCCATTCGAACTTTCATCTTCAGCAGCGTCACTGGACTTAGTAACTGGAAGAAGCGCTGCCTCAATGTCCCATATAAAGACCTCCCCACCAAGACCTCCGGAAGCAACAATATTGCTCTAAAATGCATGGCACTACAAAAGGATCAGTTATCTCTAACAGCAAATAATGAACAGTCATACGAAACAAGAAAGTCTCACAGAAGAAAGCATGAACCAAAAATCACATGCCTCAAACTTTGTATAAAAAAAAATTCTTCAAAAGGATTACATTTTTTTCAGCTGCACCCAGACATATAACATAATCGGAATGTTGGTGAAGGGTTCTGGTACAAGCACCATCAGACAAGCCATTCCATGTCTGAAACACACAAAGAGCAACAATAGTTTATAACCTACAATTCTGGCAAGGAAGAAAGTAATCTGGTACAAGTAAGAACCTTGACAGTTGTATCTGAAGAGCATGAAACAAGGGTGTTACCAGCAAGAACTGCATCATTCACCTGCAAGAGCGAAAATTCAAAAAGTCAATAGATGAGACACTGAGGTAATTAAGAAAATGTCATCATTTATAAGCATAATGATTATCCAGATCACGAAGCTGAATTAGACAAAATGGATTCATGAACCTGATCACGGGAATTTATGGGCAAACAGCGTCATTTTCTCTGTCATATGCACATCTATAAACACGTGCGCATGCACACACAAGGTCTTTTCTCTGTGGCATAAAAATTTCATCACCATTGGTTGTCTTGATGCACCTATTCCTCACACTCAATATAAAGAGCTTTTTGAGATGATGCCTTCATCATCATGGTTTTGGTTTTGTAAATTGCGTACGCATGTATCTGTAAAACACACAGACTCCCAGACAAACTAATAGAAAGCAATTCATGAAGCAATATTAAACATATGCATCTAATAATAATACTTGTATATATATTGCTATAAAACCTTAAAAGTGTTTCTTCTATGTTACATGGGTACTTCTAATTTGAAGCAGTACCCATACCAGACACGCGTCTGTACCCGTACCGGACACGTGTCTGTACTTGTACCCGTACCCAAACTCCTTGGACACTCCTTGCATATATGCATACATTTATCCGGGTTTGTACTCAATTATACAATACATTTTTTGGACATATATCCTACAATTCACATTCACTTCTTGAAAGTTGTTGGACAGATCAGGTTCCAAATTATGACTTTGAAGAATCGTTTGCATGTCTAGTTCAAAAAGTAGTGATTTTCCAATTTATAATCCACATAATAAAAGAAAAATAAAATGTTATAAGAATTGAATTCTCATCCTTGTTCCTGTATAAATTATTAACTCCAATGTATAATATATGTGTATATAAATATTTATATAGTTGTGTCCCCATACCCTACCTTTTACAAATTTTCCATGTCCTATGCCCGTATAGGTACCCGTTCCGATACCTATACCCACACAACATAACGTTTCCTACGCTTGAAATTATTTGCTTTAAAAAATTATGAATAGGCTATAGAATAGTTAATTTCTTAAAAATGATGAGTAAACTATGGAATGTATGAGTTAACATGAATGTTCAGATAGCTCAAGCTTTTCCCCTTTCTTTCTTCAAGAGAAATATTTGATTTAGGGGGTCATAAAAAACCTAGAGAAGTTTGAAATGCCACACATCCTTTCTGGCAGCATACAGATCCACAGAAATATATAACCAAAAAAATTTCTTATTGATAGCCAGAATGAAAAGGCAATTTATTAAGCAACCAGAGATCAGATTATCATTTTTAATTCCAGTTTTAAATTAATTTGTTCCTTGTAGATAGCTTTAGTATTGTTAGACCGGTTCTTAGTGATACACAACCAGAGAATAGCAAGTCATTGCAAAGATTTTGGGGAGTGGATAACTTTAAGGAAATCTTGAGCATGATATTAGACAGCAACTACAAATTTCAAAATAAGTGCCAAAATGAAATAGACAAAGAATAATACCCAGTCAACATGGGACTCAAATGTCACAGAGCAGCTAGCCTCATCATCAGACAAAGCCCACCTTTTTAATGTTCCATCTCGGCTTCCAGTGAAAAGATAATCACAACTACCGGAAGGTGAATCTTTTAAAACAGCCAGGCAATTGACACCTGCACAATGCTGCACAATAGACAGCAGGTAAGGCAGAGTAATAAATCGAAGTGTCTAAAAGTTTCCACTCAATAACAACATAACACATGGTTATCCTCGACAAGAGGATATGTCGATCACACAGATGACAGGAGCATTGTCTCACCTTTGCATCTTCTGTTTCGTTGAGAACATACGTCAATCGTTTCTCCTTCCGAGGACGTGTCGAGTTGGATGTGTTGCCAGCACTGCCCACACGGTGCATTGCAAGCTACCTAAAAAAAGATATTTTTTATATCCCCATTTTTTCCCAATATGCAGATATAAGACAGCAGGAAGGATTGATAAAGAACTAACCAAAGAGAAAAAAGGAATAGACCAACAGAAGAACATGAGATTATCCAATAAGACTACAAGCAAAAAAAATGGTAGAATTTAATGAAATTCCCTACAGAAATCTAACTGTTTTTCCTTGTTCTAATCTCCTTATGGTTAGGAAACTTTGGTGGGGAACTAAATAGAAAACGAAGTGATTTGTACTCCAAAAGGAAATTTAAGGGGATGACCCAAAGAATAAAAAAAACAGCAAAAGTAAAAAATAGCAAGCAAGCATAGTTTCCAAAAGGCACCAAATCAGCTACACATGAAATTGGAAATGACAATTCCATCAGCTAACTATATCAAATTTCCAACATAGATGATATGTATCTGTTGTTAGCTTTTGGTAATTTCCATACTGCTTAATTATATATATATCCTTCGAGCATCCAGCAAATCAACCACAAAGGCAGCTAATGTCACCTGATGTCAAAACCTCTATTATGAAATATACTTGTTAGTTTCTTGGGAATTTCCTATTTACTGCTTGTTAGTTTATTGGGAATTTCCTATTTACTGTTTGGTTTTTGTTTATGTAATGAGTTCGTTCTTTTCAGTCCCGCAATCCACACTACTCACTTGCACTACTTAATCAAACTAAGGTCAATACCACATTTAGTATCAAAACTTCCAACCAATTTGTTACCATTGTTGTCAATGCGCAAGGCGCAATGCGGGGCGCAAAGCATCTTTACGCGCACATGCGTAAGGCGCAACGTGATGCGTGCACCCGAGTAATGCGAGGCGCACACCGCACATAATTTTTCAATATATGTAATCAAGAGCGAAAGAACATATTTTTAGAATTTACATGAAAAATATCATGATAAATAATATCTTACTACAAAATCATAATATAATGCCTTAATTTCTAATGCTAACACCCAACATAGTAGCAAAATTCATAAATTTTCAAATCAAATGTTAAATCAAGACTAATATCCAAGCAAAGGATTAGTAATGGTCCTCATTTGAAGACTATTAAAAAAGGCCTAATGGATTTATTTTACTTTTGGGGATATGGAATATCAATTATAAAGACTCGGTTGAAATGTTAACAAACAAAACTCATATGTACTACATGCACCCTGCATAAAGTAAGGATGTAAGTGAGGCGTAAAAGGCGTTGCTGCATCAGATGTGGGGCGTTTTGCCACCGTCCCGCATCGTAAGGCGTATGAGGCGCAATGAGGCGCGCGCCTTTGAAAACACTGTTTCTTACCTATCTAGGAGATCCCGGTCTGCTTCCTCCATGTGTAATTGTGCTAAGCTCATACCAACCACTAAGTTCGAAAGCATGTTCCTCTACTAAGATCAACTTTACATCCAAGTCATCTCGAACCTCACATTCTGTGGTTTTGTTTTATAATGAGTAAGTAGTACGCAACAGATCTTAGCCTAATACTGGATTCTAACTCGTGCTCTAATCTCTCTTCTGAGCTAAAAACCAAAATTATCATTTAGGCACCTAATATGCATATATGCATAAGTTTAGGTAAAGGCAGTTCTTAAGCATGGAAACTGACGAAAATTCAATGGCGCATTGAATTATTCTCGAATTTGATTTGTTATAATATTAAGATATCCGAATTCAGTCCGTGAATTATTTGCATAAAAATACAATATCAAGTCCCCTTATCTCATGCACAAGAAAGAACAAAGTTTCTGATCAAATGTAAATCGATTAGCGAAAAAGGTGTTTTTTTAATGAAACGAAAGATGGAAAAACCCTAGCGATCAACAGAAAATTATCGAACGGCATACAATCTCTTAACAAAATTCTCAGCAACCTCCCTCAATTGGAATAAGATAACGAAAAATATTAACTAAAACGAGAAAATTACTCAGAAAAATTCAAGCTTTCACTGTCGAGGGAGACTTACTTGAGATTTGAAAAAGTAGGGTTTTGTTTGAAACGTAACTGATTTTCGTTTCAAGAATCTGAGGCGAGATCGGTTAGGGTTTTGGGTTCGAGAAAAAGGCGGTCGATCGCTGGGATGCAGAGTTGTGGGGAGGAGAGAGAGAAATCGTTGCGGTCAGAGAGGGGAGGAGAGAGAAAGCCGAAGATACTGCAATTGGAATATTGGATACTGAAAAATTACGTTCACCACCCTCGAACTTGAAACTCTTATTAACAACCCTCAGCTTAATCATACAACTTCACCTCATCCTAATCCTAAATTGGAATATTCTACCAAGATAACTGACTTTTAAAAAATAACTGAACTATACTTATCTAAGTAGAATAAAAATAAATAAAATAATGATATGTTTCTTACAATATCAACATATATTTTAACTCTTTTCTCTTTAGTCTTAAACATCATGTTATAAATATTCTAATAATATTACCACTTGGGGAAAAGATGCTAAGGTGTCACGCTAGATTCAATCTAAGAATGGGCTAAAATAACAGATTGGCCTAAATAGTGACACTCATTTACCGTTTTGGCCTAAAAAATAACACCGGTAATAATTTAACCTAAAAAGTGACAAATCGACGACAAATAGGCTTTTCTGATCGTCGGAGTTATTTTTTAGCAAAAATTAAAAAAATTTATATTTAGACCATTCAATCTCTCATAATTTTTAAATTAACATATCTTC